GAGTTGAGGGCATCCTTCTTGGCGTTGCGTGGATGGAATGCTAATTCCCTACCTTGTTTGAAGTCAATATTCACAGCTGACTTCTTCTCCTTCCCCAAGCAGCTCGCTGGCGGCCTCCAGAGGCAGACAGCCCACCTGCCCCACCCCCCCAGCTGGCACTTCCTCGGGCACCGCAGGGTCCTCACTAATGGGCTCTGTGAGAGCCATGCATGGGCACCGGCAGGTCACCCACTGACCTTTACAAAGCCCGGCTTTGGAGTGCCACCCACAGGGACGGACCCAGAAACCCTGACAGACTCTGTGGACAGATGGCACCAGGACGATGGAAGGATCCGGAAGGTATTTTACTGTAGGTATTTATATCTGAGGATCTGACTCCCTGCCATCTCCCACCTTGATGGAAAGCCGGCTGTATCTCTGACATTTCCACAAAGAATGAGGTTTATTAGTTCTTTCAAGATTCAGTGTAAGATTTTACATTTAAAAGGACACCCTTCTTATATAGTATTATTATAAAATATGACCATGTTATGAGGTTCAGCCATAAAAATTAGACCTGACTGACACAGGACTGTTTCACACATGCGGTTTTTGCCAAAATCTCAGGATGTCAGTTGGTTTTTCGGCCTGGTGGCACCGAGATGAGGGACAAAGGAGTTAACCTCATGGAGCTTCTACTGTTGACGCTGCAAGGAGAAGATATGAATTCTGTGATGAATCAACACTTCTCCTAACAGCTACTTTGTTCTCCTTTAAAGAGCATCCATTGGGTATTCAGTGCACATCTTCACTTGACAAGAGGAAACCTGCCATTGACCTCTTTCACTTCGTGTCGAAAGATATTACCCAGAATGCCTTAGGAGATCCCTGAGAGTGTGTTATGTGTAACATAGACATCCTCACTCAACAGCAGACAAGAATGATAATTGTGGCGGGGGGGGCGGAGTTTGAGAAGTCAGGGAGGCACCTTCTCTGTAACTCTGTCGATATTAATGACTGCTGGGAGCTGGAGCCCCTTTCCTGTCCCCTGCCCCTGCTCCAGGTGTGATGGGCCCACATTTCACATTCTCTCTCCCAACATCTGTGTAAAATGGTCTCCTGTTCTCGGCTGAGACCATCTGCTACAGGCCTGACACTTTCCCCTTGTGTTTATTGTTTCTGGGTCCACACTCAAAAAGTCGATTTGTGCTCCCCCAGCATGTTTTAGAAACAAAGCAAACAGCCAGCAGGAAGATTCAGAAGAGTAAGCGAGTTGGTTAGCAAAAGATTCCGTTTCAGCATCTCCCATATTCTCCATGCCTCAGCGTCTCCCAGGAACATATTTTTAGTGGGGTGACTGTTTGTGGCCAACAGAGGGCCCCTAAATGTCCGAGGCCCTACTCAAATTCCCACCACTGTCTGGCGGGCCACACAGCTCCATGCGGTATGACTGAAGGTGGAAAGATTTCTATCAGCCTCAGTAGACGTCAGTATTCGAAGGGGTTCAGAAATTGGCAGGTCGATGGGTGGCCACCCCATCCTCCATTACAGCCTTTAGTTTGACAACTTCACATATAAACACACATTTTCACTGCGATGTAACAGAAGTTGGAATCACACAACCCCAAACCTCCATGGAGACCAACCAGAACCTTCAGATGTTTCGTAACCCATTGAAAGTGAAGGATTACAGATCAAAATGAACACAAACAAAATACATTATACGTTCCAAACTAAGCCTTAATTTGATTACCGTTGGCAACTCACATAGAGCCTGTCACATGATATATGTACCAAAATCAAGAATATGTTCTGGTAACAAGCGCACATGTACAAAACATATATAAACATACGTTATGTGTGTAGCGCATGGACCAATAAATGAACATGTTGCAATGAATGTGTTTTCTATGCAGTAACATGTTAGGTATGTTATTTGAAATATTGACAACCCATCAGCAGGCATTCAGATATTTCCTGTGATTGGGGGTCCATTTGGAAACAAAGGGAGCACATGGTGTTTGCAACATTCTGCAGTTTAACAATGACCACGCCCACCATGCAAAGCCACAGGCTTGTGGGGGTCCCACCACGTGGCCCGGGGTCTGGGGCCCAATGCCGCAGCCATCGCACATATAACCACTGCGCGGCTGGGTCCTACCACCACGCCAGATGGACTCTGCGGGTTCAGATTTCATCGGCGCCGGGTTCTGCTGGCAGGCTTCCCAGCAGCCCCTGGGGCCCATGTCCACCCAAAGGGGAGGGGCTGTAGAGGGAGTGTGGTTCACTTTGACTCCACATCCCTTTGTTCCCCAGCTTTGCCCAGAGCTCCACCATGAGCCACAATCGCCGTGGCGGAGAATTTCCAATGGCCAGGGGACAGGTTGTTGGGGGTGGGGGTTGCATAGATTCTGACTCCTCCCCCAAGGATGGGTGTAGGGAGGACAGAAACAATCATTGAAAGAGACTGGCTGAAGAAACAAACAAAAGATGGATGTGGTCTGTGTCGGGGTTTCTCTCCATAAGGGGGCGTATGGGGTGAGACAGAATATTCACAGGCTTCAAGGAGGAGCTGAAAACTCAGAGTCTGCTGTGTCCCTTTGAAAACCACACTCCACTGTACACGCCACAGACTGAACATGGAGCATACCCATAAAACCCCAACCTTCTATTATCTCTTACCTGATCATTGCTCACTGGTATTCATTAATGTTTAATAAAATGCAAAACACTTTCAGCACCCTGTAAATATTCTCTACGAGCCTCCTGGCTGCATTAAATCAGTAGTACCTTTTAATATTAATTACTATTGACTGTTAGAATCCTTACTTACCACTCTGCAGACTTCATGCCATAGATATCAGTGATTCATCCTGAACACATGTACAAATTCCATCCTTAACAAAGGAACCAAACAAAATAATTGTAAAAAATGTATCTCATCTGTTTACATAAGATAACGTAAGAGTGCATCGTAAAAAAAAAATCTACATTTCACTAAAATCCAAACAAAATGATCATCGAAGAGGAAATCACATCTCAGATGGGTGTCAAAATCTCTTCCTGGCACCATCCAAACCGCCACAATGGGTCGAGATTACCATTACAGACGCCCTAGGGGGCTAGCTGACAGACAGCCATTTCCATAGGAGCTGGGATGGTCTGGAACTGTCAGCAAAATAGGCATAATTGTCTGATTAATTCCGATTTGATGCCCACTTTGGAAATCTCAAGGAAGCCCCGAGTTGGCTGGACTTTATGGAGACAGCTTTAGTTGAGGGTCACATAAGGAACTAGACAGAATGCATGTCTCAGGGTGGGAGTAAAGAATAAATCAAATGATGTTTAAGTAGCGAAACAAACATGTATATATTTAAAAAGTAACTGCAGTAAAGGATATTAGGGAAGTGCACATTGTCAAATTGTCAAAGAAGATAGAAATGGGACCTTTGTATCCTTACCTGTGATTTATGACATCATATAACATGTATGTTTTATCTTGTGCATGTGCAAGGAGGTTCCTGACATTATCTCTAGGAAGAGTCAAGCCATGTGAAAATGGAAAGGTTACCATTAATTGCGCGGGATGACAGAATGATGTGTAGCTAGCCAATAGAAATTAAGCAAAAAAAAAACTCGAGTTCAGAGAAGGAACCCACCTTGTGAAGTATCACTGCAGTATTGATAATAAATGAGCAGAACCTAATACAAGGCACATGACTTTAACTTCTACATCAGACAGGTGGCGGATCCATTTGGAATGGCCAGGATGGCTGATATAACGACAAGCGCATATTTATCAGGAGTCCCACTCTGCATGATCCAAAGCATCCTTCGTTTGAACCTGTTTTCATATCAATTAAGCCAGCTTTCTTTTGTCTGTGTGAGACGTCGTCTGTGCCGCTGCTCTGATCTACCTCTCCTCACTCCCAACCAGGCCCCTGCCCCCTCCCTGACCACTCTCAAACACCCCGAGCCCCATGCTCTGACAGAAGGCCTCGCGGCGTGACGAGTCCAGTGTTGGCACCAGGGCGTTGGGGCAGAAACAGGGGGGTCGGTGGGGCATTTCCGCAGGCCTCCCGTGGCCCCCATCCGGCTCGTCAGCTCACATCCCCATCACACAGACCATGACAGCGGGGCCTGTGTGGACCCAAATCTGTGTCACCTAACAGGTCTAGGCAGGTACATAAAGACTGTCTGTGTACCATGCGGGGCATCTCAGAGGGACATATCTCTGCAGAAAAGCAGGAGACACCCCCCACCGGGACACGCCAGCCACTCACCTCTATAGAGTCATGATCCTGATTGAAGGACACTGATTTGTCATCAAACCATGCAACCTGTCATTAAGATACTTTTTTTCATTGAGTAATAACATGACCCACCCCCCACCCTGCCTAAATGGTACATTTTGAGCAATTTGGTTAGAAAATTGCTTATTTTTACAACAAACACCAACAATGACTGTCTGTGAGTTTAGCTGGTGGAAGACTGTGGAAGTTTTTGTACACAAGTTTACAGCTAATTACCCCGAATGTGGTGCTGGAGGAGTATCACACATATGACTAACGTCCGTCGATGTGTGTGTGTATGTGTCCCTCACAGTTTCACAACACCTCCTCCACGATGCCAGTGACCAACAGTCCACTGAACTCTTCACGCACAGTAGAGCTGGTGAACATCACCCTCCCCCGGGCTCAACGCTCTCTGAGGAACCGTCACAGACAATCTGCCCATTGACATGTCATCAGATAAAGGAAGGACAGAGGTTACTCTATTCAGGGGGGACTTTAAATCAACATTAAACAGACAGGCTTAGGTAGGTTTGTGAAGGACACAGGTCTGGGTGACCACTAAATTAATGGTAATGGGCTCAGCCAGCCAGCAACGAAGGGTGTGTGAGTTGGACTCTAGGCTGGAGGATATCTTACATTGACATTATGGCAGACATTTTCCTTCATGCTGAATGAAGATATATTCCTCAAAGGTTAAGTTCAACACAAAGTCTGTAAACAACATGCTAGACCAAACTCTGTTTATAGTTATTGTCTGAACAGATTTACAATTCAAGACAATGTCAGTATAGCCATTTCTGGGGTGATGCTTTACTGAAATAAGTTCCCCCTTGGTGTTTGTAGACCCCTCCCTGGTGATGTGGTTGGGGTTGATTATTTGGTGAGATAGAGCTTCATGTCACTATCCTGGTATCAAACGTGGATCTGGGGACCCAACAGCGATGAGTCTAGTAGCTTTTTCCCCAGTTTGTGGCCCTCGCTCCAGTAGGTGCTGATGTTCTGGGGTGGGGGAGGGCCGGGGAGGGAGCTCAGAAGCTGGATGAAGGGCAGTTTACCATCTCAGCAGTCTCTACAATGGCGTGATGATTAATAGGTTATGAACATTCTGCAAAGGAATAAAAACAACACACACAGTAAATATATTAAAAATACCGTTTTTTTTTCTGGAAGTTTTCTATGACATATTAAGGGTCTGCCTAGGCAGATGCTTATGGGTAATTAATTAGAGTCTTCACTCCAGTGTGGGAGGTGGTCATTGCACGGGATGCATTAATTAAGCCATGAAAAGAACTTAAAATAGCTCTTCTGCTTAATGTTATCTCGCCTCCAGGTAACCATGACGATCAGACTGAAGTGCACTACATATATCAATGGTACCTTGGTTATGTTGCTGTGGTAATTTGGCCGGGGTATGGCTGGCTGTTTCCGGCCATGCATTTAGGCCAAGAGACACGCGGTCTGGTCTGCAATAGAGAGCATGAGACACAACCCCTAGACCCTTCCCTTGACAAGGTGGGAGACGACCACAGACGGGGAAGCTCTAACAGGTAACGTCGTGCTCACGTTGGCTGTCTCTTCAGTTTTAACCTGCAGTCACCCAAACCGTGCTTGGGTTGACAGCACCCCCATCGAGCCCCAGACAGGTCACTCGCAGTCTGTGGGGGATGGGTGGGGGGGGAAACACACAAACAACCACACAAAAAGCCAGATGGAGATATGAACGCTGCATTGCACAAGGTTACCACCTAAAGGTCGTCAGGCATCAGTGCATATTCAAAGAAGCCTGTCTTTCCTCCAACACTGGAAACCAATTAAGAAATAACATGAAACTAGCTACGCTGTTGTCAGGGTTCCAGCGTTATCACTGGTGCATGCTGGGTAATTGCTAAATAACTGTGGATTTACTGGGCTTCCGCTTACTGCCTGATTAAGCAATAACGAGCACTAACAAACAGCTAAAAGCAATTGCTCTATGGGGGTAGGGGGGCACTCGTGTGGGGGGCAGGGAGGGTCATGGGGGTGGTTTGGATCATATGAGCAGCAACCTGTTTTAATAGGTGTTCTTCATCTCCTCTGACTATCATCACATAGGGAAGGACACCACCCAACAGGTCCAGAAAGCTGATATTTAAATAACACAACGAAAGTCTAGCGGACAATAAGGAGGAAAATATCCTATTTTCTGCAGAGTTTTTGGGGTGGGTGGGAGTGGTGCTGGTATAGGTACCACCACAGTAAGACCCCCCCCCTCCCCCATGACTGTGGGTGTGTCGCTGAAACACATAACGAGGAGCTTTTATGCATTTTAATTCTTCACTAAATTACAGTGAGGGTGTGGTCCTCATTAATGTCTTTTAAGACCTTTATCTGCAAGCTGATTTGCACAGAATCAAAGAAAAAAATCCCTGCATAAATAAGAAAACACATGTCTGTTAGGACTCATGCTAAAAGCCGTGATCTGCTGAACCAACTATTTATATTTTTTTTTTGGGGGGGGGGGGGTTCCTAATCGCTTTATTAGCAGCATAAGCCAGAAAGGCATCGTGGAATCCAAAAGGTGAGGAAGCTCGCTTCAGGCTCCGTGCTGGATCACATTCTAATGCTAAGCTCTGGCAGCTTTACTAATAGCTCCAGCCCGAAGAGGAGGTTCTTTGCGTTTGATGCATCCTGTGGTCGCTGCTGGTATCGGTGACTCTTGTGCTACATGAGGGCATTGAAGGTCCTGCTATTGAGGTAACTGAGCAGACGAGAGCTTCTTCAACAAACGCAGGCCTGCAGTTGCGGCCAGTATGACAGATCATCTCCTGCACCAGTACCACATTCCTCAGCACTATTTTTATGATAGAGGAGCATTTTAGCTCTTCCTAAACTGAGACATTTAAAGAAGCCTAAATTTAAACTGCAGTTTCACAGCTCAATCCGGGATGGACCACAGAATCGCCTGATTAAGTAAGTTATGCCTAAACGAATTCAGAGAGGCCATTCCGCTCTGGTTAATTAAAGGCTGATTCGCTCTGCCCCTGTCGATAGTGAGACCCGTCTTTTAGCTGGGGAGGGGAGAGGGTAATGAGCTGTACATCGCTGCCCCCCCATGTTGCCACCAGCGAGCCATAAACCTCAGGCCACTTGCTTCCGCCATTGCGTTTCCACGGCGAGGGCGCATTAATGAGATCGTCCGAGTCCACAGTGGTCATTAGAGGAAATTCTAGAATAATTCGGCAGGCCATCAGGCCTTCGCAGGTTAATTCCTTCATTTTAGTCCACAAGACTCAGCTGCAGTGATTTGGGTGGTTAATAGCCAGCAGGGAGCAGCACTGGGACTCATTAACATTACAGGAAGAGATGGTATCGCTATGCGGCACTACTGGAACCTAAATGAGGCGTGTCACGCCTTTGGGAGCCTGATGTAATGGGAGGCGGCATCCCTGGGGCCTGGCAGTGATCAGCACTAGCAGGGAGCATCGGGGGGGGCCCAGCTGTCAACAGAGCAGCGGTGCGCCTGCTGTCCTGGCCTGGGGTGCAGTTACAATTTCGATACCAAAACCTTTGTCCCGATGCTTACCAGGTAGGCCTGTGTTCAGCTACAAAGCAACACATAAGGTTTGTTAATGGGGTTTATGTACTGACATTTTACAGGGGCTCTGACTAGACCGTGACTGATTTTGTATCTGTGTCTTTGCGATCTGCCCTAATCCTAAGAGCATTAACGGGAGGGAATTATGATGACCATGGTGGTCTCCATAACTTGCAAAGATGCCTTGTACACAAACAGCCCATGGAGTATGTTAGCCACCGTTAGCATGGGAGTCCTAGCAATGACCCCTGATGCTGAGAGCTGCAAATTACAAAGAACAAAGGTGGACACTTCAGCTTCAGAAAGTCCAGACCAATATTTTGTTTCAATCAATTAGCTGAATACTCTTTGACTGACTCTTTATACTCAACTGGCTGGTTGAAACAAAATTTTTACTTTCTGGACCTATAATGTCCACCTCTGAAAAAGACGATAGCCCAGCTCTGGTACCACCAACTTCCAAAGCCTCCAGAGTCAAGCAGAACTCAGATGATGTCAAGCTCTCCTGACAAGCCAAGCCAGTATGGTCACAATCCTGAAATATGATGACTGGATGTTTGGAAAATGCTATCTCTGCAGTGTGAAAGCAGAGAATGGCATAGATCTGGCGGAGGCTTCTGAGAGGGACTCAAAATTTAAGCATCACACTATCTAAAGGCAGGACTAACCCAAAGCATTCATGCCCTGTGACTCAGGGGAATCATGCTATCGATTAGTCGGGCCTTCAAAAGGTCAGGCTAATCTATTACATCTCAGATCCTCAAGAGGAATTCCAACTGTGCTCACATTAATAATACAATTTAGTCGAGTGCTGAAATTGCATGTATTTGAATCTGGGAATGTAATAAGAATAAGAAAGTGGTTCAGCTCACACTGAACTGTTGATATTTTGTGTCAGACTTTTGAGGACACATTACTGGATGTAGGCTCTTAACAGTACTGTAGCACATTAATACCTCATGTTGGAGCATCAGGTGTGGCAAGTAGGACCAGGGGCGCCGTAAGGGGGAAGAAAGCTAGGACGATTCCTGAGTGACAGGGGCCCTAAAAAATTAGGAAAATAACTGGATTGGTTTGGACTGGGGGGCCTAATATGATATGCTTTCNATGGAGTATGTTAGCCACCGTTAGCATGGGAGTCCTAGCAATGACCCCTGATGCTGAGAGCTGCAAATTACAAAGAACAAAGGTGGACACTTCAGAGAGCAAAAGTCCAGTCCAAGATTTTGTTTCAACCAGCCAGTTGAGTCCTCTGTGTCTCTGACTCTTTATACTCAACTGGCTGGTTGAAACAAAATTTTTACTTTCTGGACCTATAATGTCCACCTCTGAAAAAGACGATAGCCCAGCTCTGGTACCACCAACTTCCAAAGCCTCCAGAGTCAAGCAGAACTCAGATGATGTCAAGCTCTCCTGACAAGCCAAGCCAGTATGGTCACAATCCTGAAATATGATGACTGGATGTTTGGAAAATGCTATCTCTGCAGTGTGAAAGCAGAGAATGGCATAGATCTGGCGGAGGCTTCTGAGAGGGACTCAAAATTTAAGCATCACACTATCTAAAGGCAGGACTAACCCAAAGCATTCATGCCCTGTGACTCAGGGGAATCATGCTATCGATTAGTCGGGCCTTCAAAAGGTCAGGCTAATCTATTACATCTCAGATCCTCAAGAGGAATTCCAACTGTGCTCACATTAATAATACAATTTAGTCGAGTGCTGAAATTGCATGTATTTGAATCTGGGAATGTAATAAGAATAAGAAAGTGGTTCAGCTCACACTGAACTGTTGATATTTTGTGTCAGACTTTTGAGGACACATTACTGGATGTAGGCTCTTAACAGTACTGTACCACATTAATACCTCATGTTGGAGCATCAGGTGTGGCAAGTAGGACCAGGGGCGCCGTAAGGGGGAGGAAAGCTAGGACGATTCCAAGGGCCCCTGAGTTACAGGGGCCCTAAAAAATTAGGAAAATAACTGGATTGGTTTGGACTGGGGGGCCTAATATGATATGCTTTCATGGGGCCCAAAATCTCTAGCAGCGCCCCTGAGTAGGACTACCAGGTTTTACTTTTTATAATGATATTTATGAATGCTCCTCTTTTAATAATTTCCTGGCAATTTCCAGCTCCAGTGACTAGGAGATATTGCTTGGGACAGCTCTCTCTAAACCAGCTTGCTCAGGTGATCAACAATCTTTTACACAGTCTTTGTCCCTCTTGCCCCAAATGGTACGTTTAAGCCGCTAATTGATCTGCTAAGAGTGAAAGGATCGATTATGAGTGTCCTGATTAGAAGAAAAAGATGCGTAGGTACATGAAACTGGCAGGTGAAAGAGGAACAACTTGTACCTTGGCGCCTGGGATGAAACTACTGGCCAGATCTTGTTCACGTGGCAGATGGAGGGGTCGTTTGACTCTGCCTGGCCTTGTCACGAGTTCCCTCCATAAACCTGTAGGCTGGTTCTGTTCCTGAACCCATAACCTCTAGCTCAGAAATAGCACTCTCCTCCACCCAGGCGTATCGGGTACGACCTAAGCTTGAACCTAGGAGTGAAAGGACCAACAGACTCTGAGGACCGAACAGAACTAACACCGTGTACAGAACTAACCTGAGAAAAGTCATCAGGCAAAAAAAAAAATCTCATTCTCCACATCCTCTCCCAGATGCTGAGTGACACTCACTGGTTACACTGGTATCTCTGGTAGAAGCTGGCAGACAAAACAAGCCGGTGATTAACCAGCCTTCGACAAGACAGCACAGTGTCTGACCCCCCCGGTGATTCCCAGCGCCACGCTGAGAGAGTATCGATCGACGGAGATGCCCCGAGGGGCAAGAGACTGGCAGCTAGCCCAGCCCACACCTGCTCCCCCACCACCAGTGCTGTTGACAGTCAATATCCAGGTTCATCTTCCACCTCTGTTGCTGCAGATCGTGGTCTCCGCCTCACAGCCATCAATACAGGAGCTAAGGCTCCATTAACAAAAGCCTAGTGTCCCCCCCGCCCCCACATGTTAACCATGGGTCACGCTGCCCATGGGGGAAGGTAAAAGGTGTTGATCGAGGGGGGACATCCTGTGTGAAAACAAAGACGACCCCCTCAGCGGGAGAAGCGAAGTGTCCCTGGCCCCCCATTAACAGAGAATGAACACAGATGGAGGTAACGGACCACAGGGAGGGGCGAAGGGGCAGGGGGGCCTCGAACCTCAGCGAGGGACTACATGTTGGGAAGGGATCACAGACACGCACGCAGAAACATACGTGTGAAGGTACAGCAGGTGCTACAGCGGTTTATATGGCACATAGCAGCGGACATGCTTTCAGTGGAGTTCCCATCAGTCTGGTTACCGTCGTTAGGACAACGGAAGCACCGTTTCAGGGGA